ATTATTATTAAGTAAATCTAATGATGTCATATATCCAAATATTCAACGATCTGAAAATAACTTATCTTATTTAAAGCAATGGATCTAACTTGAGTGAAGGCTGAGAAAAACTAATCATTACGTTATAAATCCAAAGATGTTCCGTCATCAACGAACTCAAAAGATGTTTCCTCATTGAAGAGCTGAAAATCTTTACAGTAAACTCGCCTCAACTCGATATAAACTTATTGCACCACAGTAAAACTTAATTGCATGGTTACTGATAACAATGAAAATATGCATAACATAAAAATAATAAAATTATAATATTTGAACTTTTGCTTCTCATGAATAATATCAGCATTTCGACGACCTGGACAGCTGAACTGAGGTAGCAGCTGAAATCTGCAAAATATCAAGGTTGATAGAGCTACTGCAGCGGTCATTATAATCTATTTTCTATTAAAATGGGTCAAGTTTACCCTTTTATCAAATTTCAACATCTGAGTAACCGTTATCCAGTTTCTGTCGCAGGTACGTTTACCCAGATTTAGGTAAATGCATGTTTACCCATTTTTGGGTAGGTTCAGTTTTTACCGATCTGGGTGGATGCTACCCAAATTTGGGTAGTTTTGAAATAGCGTGTGGGCTCATGCAATCATCTTTGACTCTGCGCATTTAATTTGCTTTCAAGGACGTAGCCAGGTTTCGACATAGGGTGAGGGGGCAACATTTGTTTGATGATGGAGGGTTAGGTTTGATGCCAATAGGCTGAACGCAATTAGGTCGAATGCTTTTATGAGGACTGTGATGAGGCCGAAGAGGTCACAAGGTCAATTGAGTAATTTAACTGAAGTTAAAACTTATGTTAAACTACATAAGTATCTTTCAAATTTCAAAGGTGTCCAGAAAATCCTGATTAGTAGTTTTCTGATTTATTACTGAGTTTCTAATTTTGAATCATTCCTGATAGAGCGATATGTATGTGTTTGTGTTTGTATTCAATTTAACCTCCAATGGCCGGCAGTGGTATTATGGAAGAAAACTGCTTGTAATAATCCTTGAGGTTACTATTTAAAGCAGCTTTACTCCGGGAGTAAGAATATGATAGCTTTACTGCAGATTCTGCAGCCCATTTCAGAATGCCTGGTAATTCACGTCAATTCCGAGATCACTTTCGCGTACTATAAGCCCCGCATATAAACAATACCATTATCAAGTGGACTATGGCAATGCCAACTCGCTTCCAGATTCAAAAACATGATGTTTTCAAATCCTGCGTGTGTTTAGTAATAGTGGAACAGCATTTTTGATTAACTTACAATAAGATTGATCTCACCGAACTCTCCGCCACCGGTCAATCACTGGAAATTTCTTCAATGTGAATTGATATATAATAATAAATAAATTTTATGGCTATCCCCTACAAACAATCGCCTATTGAAGAAACGACTTCTTGCCAATTTCATTCAACTACATACTTAATAATACTTGTACAATTTTTAATAATAACTTCTGTTCAGGCTTTGTTCACACAAAACTGGAAAATTTATTCAACCACAACATGGTGTTGATTAAGGTATGCCGAGAAGCTTTTATTCGACTTCCATGAGTTGTAACAGAGCTTATTCGATCAAATGTTTTATTGTTTTTCGCGTTTATTGGACATCTTTGTTCCTTAAACAGCGATGATGTATACGCTTGATTATCATGTGAAGTAAAGTTTTGATTTGGCATTATTATACATTTATTAAACGATTATTCGACTGCAGGAAAATTAGCCCGAAAATAAAGAACGGTGGAGACAGACAGAGTTGTCTTTCGCTTTATGGATTGTTTTCCTATTTGTGATGAAGCACGCATCACATAGATACTAGAAAATTTATTGCATACATATGCATGTCCGTTGCATGGGTTTCGAACCATGTACCCTCCGATCACCAGCCACTTGCCTTGCCATGTGAGCTATCCTAGAATACATCACGTGGACTGCTCAATATTCAATAAAAGCTTGCTAGCTGCCTATCAGCACTCCCGATCGCAAATCTAGCTCCATCAAGGTCCAGTGGGAATCATTAATTCATTCATCGTTGTTTAACATGAGACAAATTCTACCTCTTCACCTCTCTAATTTCGAAGGAAAGGATGCTGGGCTATTTATTTCATTTTCATTTTCATTTTACAGCTTTTGGTGGGGCAATGGGAGCGCAAGTCAATCCAAAGCCGAGGATAAAGGAAGTGTAATGGCTGAATAGTCTATGCGGACCACTTGAACGCCATGGGAAAAGGAAGGGATTGAAGAGGTCGGTTATTGCGGGGTTTTGAGGAAATGACATTATTGCGGGGTTTTGAGGAAATTTCACATGAGGCTATGAAAAGGCTAGTTGCCTCCGTAAGCGGACTCCCCGCATCCTAAATCCTTTTCTAATCTACCTAATGTCATTAGGCTGTCTAAATTTTCGTTTGATGATTATCACATCTCATTAGCCAAATTTAATAATTAATTTAAATCTCAAATCTACCCAATCAACCATAACCCATGCCAAGCACTTGCACTTGTGCATGCTATCCAAAATTTAACGTGTTTCAAGTTGTTTTTGACTTTGACTTATATTAATTATATATAAGCTCGTCCCAGGTGACACCTTCAAGTGACTAAAATACTTCACTTTGAAGTTAGTTTCCTAGCTGATTTTTAAATTATATAGGGTATATGCTCGAACTACGCTCACACGTTTCCACTATGTCGTCCCACAAAATTACGTATGGGTAAGTCACAATAGATGCAATTAATTGGAAGAAGCTAGGTAGGAAACTGGTTTCTGCAGATACTACTCTCAAACGGTCGACCAAATGCTGGCTGGGCTGGGGCAAGTAGCACTGAAACAGGAGGATAATAAGACTGGGACACAATGACTGGAAATTGTATATTCATCTCTTACTTCACGGAAGGGTTGTCTACAAAAATGCACAAATGCACACAATGATTTACTGAAAATTTCAGCTGATTTCATGGTACTTATTGACCTTTCTGAAGCAGCTTTTCCAATGATATATGGTACAATTACACTTCGAAATGGTGCAAAGCGGTGCATGCTAAGAAGCATTTTCAAATGCTTAATGTACAGTTTTCTCTATTTTAGCGAGCGTACTTTAAATATTTACCGAGCATTTTAAGATTTTTAACGTATTTTGATCAATCATTTAACGAGCAACCCAATCCATTTAAAGGAGATTTTTTTACTTATTGAGGAACATCGTCATTGTTTAATGATTCATTTACCTTTTTACCCGACAATTTCAATGTCTAAAATTGCAATTCCGTATATAGAGCTTCTACTTAGTAACCTCTGTCCATTGCATTTAATACGAAGTCCACAAATTCCAAAAGGTTTGTGGTGGTTGAACGGCCTTTAAAAAAGCCGTGTTGTGCACTAGTTATTCTTTGTTTTATTTGGCAAAAAACGTTTTTATTTATAATTGATTCGAAGAGTTTTTGAATGCACGAAATGATAGCAATCCCACGATAATTTCAAATATCGGATTTTTTACCAGATTTATGTATGGGTCCAAATCTCGTAGGCCATTCCAAATATCATGAACCTAAATGTTACACTGAAAATAAAATTTCGTTTATACAACGAAATCGCTCGTTTGTTCTACGAATTTATTCGTTGTTTTCTGCAACGAAATGGATTTGTACATTGTATGAAGCTAGTTTCGTTAGAACTGCCACACTCGCTATCGCTACACCCAACCAGCGGTCCACAAGTGTTGGTTGTGGAAACCGAAAAATGTGGAGTGTGTTAGTGAGGATGGGTAAAAATAACTTCATCATTGGAAGGAATAAATGACAAAAAAATAAAATTAGGCTTCAGACCGGACACGACTCATGAACCTTGCGATCGTAAGATCTGTGCTATATCCATTACTCTATCTGTGCTATAAGAAGAGGTAAAACTAAAGGCAAATAAGAAGCGCTCATGGAGCGGTACTTCGATTTCTCTTGCTTTTTCTGTTGCTTGCATGTATTTTTTTCTCTAACATAAAACCACCGCGATGATTTATTGTGGTAGCTTGCATGTATTGGTCAAACCGACAATATTTCTAAAAAATAAAATATCCCATCTCATACACACAATCAGCACTTTAGGCGACAATAAGCGCAGTTGTTGGTTTGATTGTACGAAGATGTATTTGTATATTATACGAATAAGGCGTAATATTGACATTGCGCCAGATGACAGGAAAAACGAATGTTTCGTACCATTTATGAAAGATGTGTTGTGTGTACGATATTCATTTTACGAAACGGTTTTCAGAGAACTAACGAAAATACATTTTCAGTGTATTAACGCCAACAGTAGTTGAAAAGTCAGGAAAATAAGAAAAATATTCATAATCATGATCATTATCTGAAAATTTCGTGTATGTTTCTTGAAAAAAAGTGGCGAAAAGATTACATATATCATTCGAATTATTACCTTCCTTTTCATCCAATGTCATCTTTGATTTGAATTAGCATTTTTGTAGTAGAACACATTTTCATACTCACAGTCGTTGGGGTGTTGACTATCATGAACAAATATGGAATACTCGATTGCTGTGAGAAATGCTTCATTCTTCCATAAAGGAGAAATATATTCACTAACACAAAAATCTTCATGTATATTCGTTAACAAGAAATCTAGGAAACAATTCTGTTGGTTTCTTACATGGTATATTTGGTTTGGTTTAATTTGGTTTAATATTTGATATGCTGAGCTATCAAGTTGTAAGGTCCCACTTACCCACCCCGATATAATCCAAACTAAAATATTTATTTATTTATCAATGCAACAGCCCAGGAGAAAATATTGGCAACCACTTTTGAGCTCAAGTTCTTCGACCAAATAGAAAAAAAATAACTAATCTAATTAACTTTAGTAAGCTAATTTGTGAAATCCAGCAGCTTTCCGACACCATTCATATTCCAACATACTTTCGATATTAAATTCCACCCTTTCATCTTTTCATTACAGGACTGATGGTATCAACGACGCCAGCAACATTGAACATCAGCACCACAGCCAGTGGTACCAGCAGCAGTTCCATCGCTTCATTCAGCACAAACCCTTTTTATACCGAAAGACCCACCACCGGCACCAGTACAATTTCCACCGAAGGTGTCCACTCCCAGCAGCAGGACCAAGCTCCAAGGTTCGAGGCGCTAGTCCAACCGGCACCAGCGTCACTGCGGGGCCACGATGATGGCACCGTGCCAGATTCGTCCGATACCACTGTTACGGATCCTTTGCTGCTGCTGGGAGGATTCCGGTTTCCCGAGCAACTGCTCCCCGAACCGCTGGTTAGCAGTGACAGTGGCAAGGCAGGTGTTAATCCTATCAGTAAAGGTGAAAATGTACTGTTACGAACTAGCCCACTGGTGGCCGACGTCGTCAGTCCACGGGAAATATCCCATGTGTCCCTCATGGGATCAAAATCCAATCTAGTTAATTTAGGTGTAAGCAGCAGCAGTGGTAGCAGTAGTAAGATTAAAAGTGCTAATTTAAGTGTAGGTGATAAGGTCAGCGTCGAAAAGTCCCCCACTGGCCGGGCAAATAGTGTGAGAAGTAGCGGCGGCAGTGGAAAGGCTGTCCCCAAGGGCACCTCATTGGAAACGGAGTCCCCGGCAAATCGGGTCGAAGGTGAATTCCGCGAAGTCGATGGCAACTTTAGTAAGATGTTCTTCGAAACGGACAACCTTACGACGATATCGTCCCAGGTGGGATCCATTGCCGTGCTGCCGTGCGTGGTGCGGAACATCGGCAAAGGGGTGGTAAGTAGAATGTTTAAGTACAACTGTTTGTGTGGGAATTAACGGTTTCCTTCCCAGAAGGTCTTTTATTACTTTGAGATACAAAAATGTGTTTTTTTTAAGTGCCAGAACGATAGATTTTCTATATAGTCGAATACTAAGGAATCCATCAAAAGTTTTCTTTTAAAATCAAAAGTATTTTAATCGTTTCCAATAGCTAATCAGATGAATTCTCAAGAATATATATATGGACGTGAATAATGAGCACACGGAGAAGCTTGACCTTTGCCTAACGTCTAAATTTGCATAGATTTCAAAATTAAATGAGCTCTTAAAACATAATTTCTCATAACATTTTCTCACTCAAATGATGTAATTTTCAACCAATGCGGGTATACCGATGGTTCCTGATGCAAAATTTAAAATTTTCGCTCCACAATACTTAAACGATTCCAAATCGGATCCTGACTAACCTCTCAAAATTTGAACCCATTTGGTGAGAAACTGAGATGGCACAAATCATTTGAAGTTTTACTATGGGACTACTAAGGGATTACTATGGTAAAACCAAGATTTTTGTTCATGTCAATCTAATAATTCACCATATCAGTCTGCTTCAAAAGCTTTCAACTGTACTTGTAGGAAATTTTCCCAGCTACAACTTTGCTCAAGACCACTTTTTGATTAAATGCAAGGATCGCAAGTTATCAATGGTTCAATACACTGATGATCATGCTCAATCAACTGCTCAGCAGGCAACATTGGTGTTTCTGGGGCGTTGAATAGGACACAACAATCATGGCTACTATGTCACACTGCGAAATACAGTGTTGCCTACAGAGCAGCTGCTTGATCATGTCATAAGTTTACCAATCTCTTAAATAATTAATAACTTTTTCCTATCTCGATTTACATAGAAACGATCTTGAGCAAAGTTGTAACTAAGAAAATTTTCAATAAGAATGGCTATCGAACTGTTTCGTAGCTCAATATGGAAAAAGACTAGAAGGCAATGAACAAAAGTTGAGATTTCCCATAGTAATTTCCATGTAAACTTCAAATGGCTTGTGCGAAGTCTGTTTCTAACCAAATGAGTTGTAACTTTGGGAGGCTAATCAGGACTAGACCTGTGCGCCGATCAAAAAAATATCGGCGGCGGCGTGATATGTTGTTTTCTGCCGGCGGCGGCGGCGTGGTGGCGTCACGCCGTTTGCTTTCGGCGGCGGCGGCGTGGCGGCGTTAGATAACAAATAAGTTAGATTTTTGATTTTAATGATAATAGGAACCACCCTAGAATTCATTGTCATAAAAACGAGGGCATAACTATAAGAAGCAACTTTGTACAAGAAACTTTTAGTCTAAAGTTTCAATTTCAGGCTCAAAACATATCATTCCACCTAAATCTGCATTCTGGACCACTGTGCATTGGCCATCTAGGAAATGAAATTATAACTTGTCGTGTGACACATCCAACTGCCTGATTTTACAATTATCGGTTGGTAATGGCCCTATTGACGGTCACAATAACCCTCTTTGGGAATGTATAAGTACCATCCGTCATGTGACATAACATCATGGTTCTTCAAAACTCGGCGAGTAATGGCAAGAGCAGTTTTACGTCAAATGACGAATCGGAAAAATGAGACCATCTCCGATTTGTATAAAACTTTGCACAGTTGTGTATTAGAGGCAATAATTCACATTGTCACTTAAAAACTACAATTTTGGATGTTGTTTTTTTTTTTTTTAAAGTGTCTTTGTAATTTTTCAATAAATTATAGCACCGCAACGTCACTTCTGATCTGATTCTCCAGACGTTATTTTAATCAGAAGTAACGTTTTAGTACTTCAATTGATTGAAAAATGTCAAAGTCGCCATTTTGAGAACATTTACAATATCCAAAATGGCCGAATGTTTGCACAAATGTGAATGATTGCCCATAACACATAATTATGCGAAGTTTCATGCAAATCAGAAAAGGTCGAGTCTTAAATTGTTATTTCTGTATCCTATTTGGCCTGAAACTGGTCTTTTTTTTAGATGCCAGGGTTACATTGGCCATCACAGACATATAGTTATAACAGTCGCGTTGTGAGTGGGTTATAAAAATATTTATTTCACAATTTGTTACATCAAATCACTAAAGTTAAATCAAAACTGAACTAAAGGGTGATACGGTCAAAATTTGGTCAATATCAACTTGACGTATTTCTTTCAATTTTGCATTTAAAAAAACCTGAACACCCCTCATTTTGAAGGTGTGTGTGTGTAGAATGTTGCTCCTATTTTGATTTTGGAATTCACTCTTCAGTTGTCAAAATGCCGTCCAAGCAAGAAGAGCAGCGTATCAAAATTTTGCTCGCGCATCGTGAAAATCCGAGCTACTCGCACGCAAAGTTGGCAAAATCGCTAAAAGTTGCCAAATCAACCGTTACAAATGTAATTAAAGTGTTTGGGGAACGTTTGTCGACAGCCAGGAAGTCTGGATCGGGGGGAAATCGAAAACCGGAAGCCGCTGAGACGACAAAGAGAGTTGCCGGTAGTTTCAAGCGAAACCCTAACCTCTCTCTCCGAGATGCCGCAAATAAGCTGGGTGTATCGTCTACAACCGTGCATCGAGCCAAAAAACGAGCCGGACTATCGACTTACAAGAAGGTAGTGACTCCAAATCGCGATGATAAACAAAATACGACGGCCAAAGCGCGATCCCGGAGGCTGTACACGACGATGCTGACGAAGTTTGACTGCGTGGTAATGGACGACGAAACCTACGTCAAAGCCGACTACAAGCAGCTTCCGGGACAGGAGTTTTATACGGCAAAAGGAAGGGGAAAGGTAGCAGATGTTTTCAAGCACATGAAACTGTCAAAGTTCGCAAAGAAATATCTGGTTTGGCAAGCCATCTGTACCTGTGGCTTGAAAAGCAGCATTTTCATAGCTTCCGGGACTGTCAACCAAGAAATTTACGTGAAAGAGTGTTGGAATAAACGTCTGCTGCCTTTCCTGAAGAAACACGGTTGTTCCGTACTGTTTTGGCCGGATTTGGCATCTTGCCATTACGGTAAAAAGGCCATGGAGTGGTACGCCGCCAACAACGTGCAGGTGGTTTCCAAGGACAAGAACCCTCCCAACACGCCAGAGCTCCGCCCAATTGAGAAATACTGGGCTATTGTCAAGCGGAACCTAAAGAAGACCAAAAAACTGCTAAGCGCGAGCAGCAGTTCAAGGCAAACTGGCTTTCTGCGGCGAAGAAGGTGGGCAAGGTGGCTGTACAAAATCTGATGGCAGGGGTCAAGCGTAAGGCCCGGCAATTCGGATTTGGAAAAGCGGAAGCCTAACTGAATATTTTTCCTGAATTTTATACTAATTGAACTTGAAAAAGAAATTTAATTTGATTTTTTAAATAAACGATTTCACCGATTTACACGCGTTTTCCCTTGACCAAATTTTGACCGTATCACCCTTTATTCACTTAGAATTCTAACTAACAACTGCGTCTAGTCAACCGGAGATTAGCGAGATTCCTTGAGGGGAACAACCTACTAGACCACCGATAGTACATGAGGCACTCCGTAAGGACCAGCACGTCGAGGTGGCCTCCCTGGATCTGGCCAAAGCTTACAACAGAGCCTGGACACACCAAGTACTACAGCAGCTAGCCAGATGGGGCCTCGGAGGAAATATCCTCTACTTTTTAAAGAATTTCCTGCAGGACAGAACCTTCCAGGTGACCGTCGGGAACCACCGCTCCAGCACCAGACGGGAAGAGACCGGGGTTCCCCAGGGTTCCGTAATTGCAGTGACCATCTTCCTGGTGGCAATGAACGGAATCTTTATGGGGCTCCCCAAGGAGATTTACATTCTCGTCTATGCGGACGACATTTTGCTACTGATCATAGGGAAGACCCTGAAGGCCATGAGGATAAAGCTCCAAGCTGCGGTCTCCGCTGTTGGCCGATGGGTCGCTAGGACCGACTTTGAGATATCTGCTGAAAAGAGCTCAATCTCCAACGTCTGCCACCTTGGCCACCGACCACTTCCAACACCAATCAAAATTAACAGCCACACTATCCCTAGAAAGAAGACCATATCCTCGGGGTCACGATTGACCGGAACTTTCGGTTCGGCACCCACCTTAATGATGTCAAGACTAATTGTCAAACACGATTGAACATCCTCCGCTCCCTCTCCATGCAGCATAAAACGAGCAACAGGGCCATCAATACCGCCAGAGCCGACTGACCTACGGAATTGAGCTCCTCTGTGCGTCCAGCGATTCGGTCGTCACCCGACTAGCACCGATATATAACCAGGCAACACGAATTGCGGCTGGACTTCTGCCCTCAACACCAGCCGATACCGCCTGTATTGAAATCGGAGTGCTCCTTTTCCGATATTACACTGCGGAAACAATCTGTACCAGAGCCGTGGGCCTCGACGAAAAATTAAGCGGAGACGGAGAATTCTATCTCCTCACAGAAGGGAAATGAATCCTCCAGGAAATCGCTCACCAGGAGCTCCCCCGGTAGCTCAGCTCCACTGGAACGGAGCCAGAGAGTGGGATTCTTCCCCCATCCGAGTAGACAAATCCATGGTCAAGCAGTTCCGAGCAGGAGACAACTCTACGGCAATGAGATCCTGCCTCACCGAATTATTACAAACACGGTACCACAACTATGAACTCCGTTTCACCGACGGCTCCAAGGCAGGAGGCAGGGTCGGCTTTGGAGTAACTGATGGACAGACCTCACACTTCTGGAGACTCCCCGATCAATGCTCGGTCTTCTCGGCCGAGACTGCAGCCCTCCATTACGCAGCTTCCCTACCATCCTCCTCTCCGCTATGTGTACTAACCGACTCTGCTAGTGCCCTCGCGGCACTGGAATCCGCCACCGCCCGCCACCCCTGGATTCAGGCCATACAAAACCACAGCCCCTCTGGCACCACTTTCATGTGGATACCGGGACACTGCGGAATTGCCGGAAACACAGAGGCAGACCACCTCGCTGCCATTGGACGA